CCAAACTTTTCAAAAACAAATCAACATTAGCATGATAGACGCAAACACAAACACGATGAGCCAAAGCCGCCTTACAAACAACGAATGGAGGTCTCAAATCAGCAAACGCGGAACGACTCAAATCAACGTTCTTATTTTCCTCTTTGAATAACTCGTAATTTTCTCTTAGATTATTAATTAAAACTCTTTTTTGGTACGTCGTTTTCTGGCCAACATCGTCTTTTACTACAATAGTATCACGTTTACCAGGTAGCTGATACGAAACATCGTCACGAACATAGAAATTATAAATATCTTTTTTCAGTTTTGGAGAAAGTTGAACTGAAGTACGATGATGAGTTGGTTTAGGAATTAGACCAAATTTCTGAGCTAAATGCTGAACAATTTTTTTTTTCTTTTTATCGCATTTCGGCAAAGACGAATTAACCTTTTTCAAAGACTTTCCGAACGACTGACGATTCTTGAATGCACTGGGAACTGTTTTTGTATTCAAACGTTTTTTTTTACTCTTACGAAAATTAACTTGATTGATTTTATTTTTCAAACGGAATGCTGCCAGATCTAGACCGGTTAACTTTTCTCTCTTCGAATTATCACGAACACGAGCCTTAGCTTTCGCCGCTTCATATTTAACCTTATCTTTTTTTATTTTCTCACGATATTTTTTCGCTCTTTCCGCCTGACTCATGGCCATTCTCTTATCTCACTAAAATCTAAACAACACTTACCTTGCAAAAAAATAGAATAGAATATGAGACATAATAGAAGTAAAAAAAATAAACAATATCGTTCTCTTTTTTAAAAAAATCACACTTATATGGATGGAAGCAAATCTTGCTTCTAATGCGTCGTTCTTTTATGCTTAGCTTTCGGCAAAATAAAAGGGGTGAGTGTGTAGATTACATTTTTCTCTCTTGCTAGTAAATTAGATTTTTCTTTTCTTTTCTGCTCTCTCAAAGCAACGATCACAATACACGCAGGAGACAGATGGACATAGAACTGTATCGGAATCGTTAAGTACACTCTGTATATAGAAGGTCAACGAGTTCTATTCAAACCTGACACTCTACGTGCTCAGTAAATTTAGTGGCAGATCTGAGTAGCACACGTTTAGTTGACCAGTGCTCTTTTATTATTTCGCTTATTCCAGTAAAAATAGCACTCTATAATTCAGCTAAAAAGCGCTACCACTGATTAAGTTTTCGTAATTGCGTCACGCTTTTCTACGATTAAATGCGCTTGTTTAATGAAAAAAAGTAGTTCGTTGAATTTGCCGTTAAAAACTGGTTATAGTGAACTACTTTTTTGGTCGAAAGTCAACGGTTCGTATAACAAGATTTTTAAAATTAGGTGTTTTCGTGACGCAATTACATTGAGTTTTATTAAGTATTTCTTCGGCCACTGTGAGATAACAAAGCAACGGATTCAATTCGTTCTTGCGCCAAAAGAAAGAGCGTAGTCGATTATCTACGGATCATGTCTGAAAGAATTCCTATCTCGATTTTTTAATGTTAAAAAAGTCTAAGAAAAACAGATTGAAAAAAAACATGATCCGCAAACTTGCATTAAACTGATTTTGTGCAACGTTTTTATACTTTCAGATTTGATTTAGGCCAGTAAAAAGCACACTTCATGACACTATCGGATGCGCTCTACAACGTGACACTAATGGTTTTGTTCAGTTTCGAAAAAAATACTTGATCAGCGAAGTGTCGCGTTACGTGGACAAGCTGATTAGTCGACTTACTCGGTATAACTAGAAATCCAATTGAAGGACAATCAAAAAATATTCATGAAGAAATACTTGATTTAATTAAAAAATATATTGAACCTGTCAGTTTTAAACACTCTTTATCTTCCTTTATATAACTAAATTTGAATATTCTATTGTCATAGGAAACAGCAATTGTTTTACATGTTATTCCAGCATCAGTTGATTTTACTACATCAGAATCAATGAAATTATCCCAACAATATGATCCAGAAGGTGATCGACAGTTAATAGCTGTTAGTAAAATAGATAAATTTGACAAAGGAATCAAAGATAAACTACGAGGTTTGGGTCCAGGATCAATGTCATTAAGATTAGGCTGTGTTGCTGTGTTGAATCGTTCACAAGATGAAATTGATCAAAAGATTAGTTTTGATGAAATGAAAAAACGCGAACGTGATTTTTTTAAATGTCATAAAGCGTTTGAGCATGTCCCAGATACTTATAAAGGTAAATAAACAATAAACAAATCTAGCTCTCTTTGTCGACTTTCAAACTGCGTGTGATAGAATGTGGTATCCTGCACTAATGAAGACATTGAGGGATTTGGGAATGCCTCTTCCCCTTCGACGTTGGATCTTTGGTTGGTTGCAAAACCGATCGATGTTCATAAGTCATGGGGATACGGTATCTAGAATCTTTAGTGTCCTTGTTGGCGCTCCACAGGGATCCATTCTGGCTGCTATACTCTTTAGACTACACATACACTTTTTGCCATCGTATTTTGCTCGGGTAATGTCACATTTATACGCAGACGACTTAACACTACTTCTCCAAGGTGCGCTAGAGAAACGTTTGTCAGATAATATAAAATATTTAGAGGAACAAGCAAAACCGATTTTAAAAGCATTAGAAAAATTC